CCTGCCCGCTCTGCCTCCACCTGGGCTATCTGAAGCTCTAACTTTTTCCGTTCTAGCTCCCTCTCCTCTGACTCCCTGCGATAAAGACGCTCCTTCTCTTTTTCCATGAGCTCCCTTTCCTCTGACTCCCTGCGATAGAGACGCTCCTTCTCTTTTTCCATGAGCTCTCTTTCCTCCGATTCTCTGCAATAAAGACGCTCTCTCTCTCTTTCTGCGATCTCCCTTTCTTGTCTTTCCTCCTCTTTCTTAACTCTTTCCTCCTCTTTCTTAATCCTTTCCTCGATTAGCTCCCACCACTCGCCCGAATCGCCTCGATTATGAGAGGTTTTCTCTGGACTCCCCCCAAATCGAGCCCCAATTCTTTACTCAAAAGAATCAGATCTGGTCTGCGCAACTTGTTCAAGTCCATGGTTGTTTCGAGTGACAATCTTTCACCTTACTCTCTGCCGGGGAATACCCAAATAAAGCCAACTACCCCGGCAGCTATATCACCAAGTTTAAGCAAACTTCACCATCTACTCAAACCTGGCAAATCCCAAGAGAAAGTTGAACACTCACCAACACAGCAACCAGGACTCTGCACAGACCATCCCACCGCTGCCATCCAGTTGTTACGATTCCGGGCCGAGCATGCTCCCACTTCCAAGCGTCGTGGACTTCGAAGATACTGAGGAGCGTTCACTGAGAGGAGAAGACGTTTATATACAGGAATATTTACATCATCATCTTTCAGCTTTGGCGTCTGAGAAGGGAAGACTCTTGACGAGTCCGAGCACCGGCTAATGTAGCCTCCTTGAAGTGGCGAGGGGGTCCCTGTCCAAGGTCCCGCGAGGGGAAAGGGCACTTTCGTCACCACGGGACGTCTCTGCAGGTCTCCCGGGACGCGGACCTCCCACGTGGTCACACCCCGGTCCAAGCATCCCTCTCGTCCCGTCTCCCAGAAGATCGCGGGAACAGGCAGCTCTCCCGATCACACGCCGAGACCCAAACGTCTCCACTTGTCTACGTCGTTCGTTAGCACCCGGTCCGAAGGCCGAGGAAGCGGGCCCCCGTTTCTCAGCGGGGTGTCAGGGGGGTCAGCTCCCGCTGTGCCGGGTGGCCCGCTCGGTGTCGCCCGGAAGCCGCACCCCACCCACGCCGCGTCGGTCGGCATGTTCGGCGGCGCCAGAATGCCGAGCCCGAGTCTCTGGTCACTCGATGGGTGGTCGATGGCGCTGCCAGGAAGCCGAACCTGCCCTCTGGGTGGCCGATCATAACACCCGCGAGATTAGGTTACGCTGGTCTTCCGGATGCCAGCTGGACAGCGCAGCTTCCCACTGCTCGGAGTTCAGGTAGGGAACTGGGGAGGGGGGCAGCCTGAATCTTAGGGCATGCCCACGGGATGTGATATAATGAAGCCTTTTCGGTGCACAGGGGACATTTGTTTGTCGGGTATACTGTAGGGTATACCCGACAAACATGTAAGAGGCTGGGTGGGGAAAGCATTTGTTTGTAACATGCGTCAACCTACAGCGTCCTCCCTCGTTAGAGATTTGTGCAGCGGAGGAAGGGTGCGGCGACTCAATCGGAGATGTTGAAGGATGTCACGAAAGGTAAGGGGGATCGGGATGGGGACCGGGGATGGGCCTTCCTGCGTTGGCGGGGCCCGGAGGGTTAAAGCTCGGGCTGTCGCGTGTGCGCGTTCGTTCCCGCTCAGGGAATTATGCCCCGGCGTCCATATTAAGGATACTGTAGGGAGTTGTTCAGGGGGGTTATTAGTTAAAATTCGATGAGCAACTCTGGAGAGGCGACCGTTGCAAAAACTACGGCAAGCCGCCTGCGAGTCAGTAATTATTGAAAGAGATGTGATAGCTGGGGTGGACGGGATAGCGAGCGCTATCGCCGCTTCTTCTGCCTCGAGTGGGAGGAAGGTAGGAACGGTCGCGGTGGTCACTTCCCGCATGTCTTCGTCGATTACGCTGACGGCCATGGCCAGTCGACCCGGGTAACTGCCGGCGTCAGTGTATCTGACGTGGCGGGTATATTGAAGTCTCTTCTAAAGAGCGCGGGCGCTAGCCTGTCGTCTCCCCTGATGGAACTCGGGGTGCATGTTTTTGGGTATTGGGGCAACAGAAATTTTGGTGACGTTTACAATTTCCTGTAAGGCCGAATTAGAGCCACGGTGGAAAAAACACGGTGGAAGAATTGTGTTTCTTCCATCGTGATTAAAGCGCAGCTCTTGAGGAAGAGGAGGGAAGGGTGCGGAGGAAGAGGAAGGGAATACCCTCCTCTCCTCCTCCCCTGCCATTTAGTGGGGAATTTTAGTAAATTTCCCTCTCTTGAGGAGGAGGAGGGGAGGGTACGGAGAGGGTGGTATGCCCCTCCTCCCCCTGCGTACCCCTCCTCCTCCCGGGGTGGCTAATATTTGCGATAAATCGGCTAATTAAATAAAAAAATTTAATTAGCTTTCTAATTAGTGAAGCCGGACATATGATTTCTATTAGAAACTTAGAGAGCATTATTAAAAACCACTAAATCAATTGTTTTTAGAACGACTTGAAGCTCGTTGGAAACTCGGGTGCGCGCCAAAGTTACCACTCGTGAAGCAGGCGCAAAGCTAGCAGCGGCGGAACGCGGAGAGTTACATCATTATTGCGTTCCGCCACTGCTACCTTTGCGCCTGCTTCACGAGTGGTAACTTTGGTGCGCCCCGGAGTTTCCCACGAGCTTCAAGTCGTTATAAAAATAGTTGATCTAGTGGCTTTCGATAACACTCTCTAAGTTTCTAGTTGGAACCTTACGTATATTTTCACTTGTTAAAAAGTAGTTAACGAATTCTAATTAATTAGCCACCTTATTGAAAAGATCAGCCACCCACATAATGTCCCCCAGGCCGAATAACTCACCTGGGCAAACCGTATTAGTGCATCTTTTACGGAAGTTTTATGATAAATCTTTTTCGAATAAAAATATCACCCCCGGTATATATACATACACACACACACACACACATATACACATAATGGTATGCTCGCTCACCGCTTGCCACGAGGCAGTAAATATAGTTATCACATCTGGAAGCTCCCCTCTGTCTAAGTTCTGCCGGTGCCAGGAAACAGGACAGCAGGAGCAAGGCGGGAGAACGAGGCAGCGTTAGAGTCAACACTTTGACGAAGCACATGATTCTCTCGATGTCATCCTACTTGCTGTCGGCTCTGTCGAAGACTGCTCGGTGTTTTTGATTTCCTCAACATTAGTCTTGAGCGTGCTGCCCCGAGATGACACAGCCGAAGAGCGAGTACACGTCCCTCGGGGCGAATGGGATGTTATCCTGCATGACTGGTATGAAGTTCTTCTTTGTCTTGCACTAAATATTTGGTGAGTGCCGTAGGCGAGAAATACAGAGCTACCACGAGCAAGCCGTTGTCGGCCTTGGCGGCACACAATTTACCAACTTCGCCTGATGTGTGCCACAAAGATCGATGGGTACAGCACAGACCCGTACCCATGTAGATGGCCACATGGATACCGAGTACACCACGTGTTCATACGCGCCTCCCTGTGATTTATGAATGATGACAGCAATTGCCTACACAACCGGTAGCTGGAATCTCCCCTCTTCGTCCTTCTGCTCTCCTCCTCCTCCCCTCCTCCTCATCTCATCATTCCTCCCTTCCCCGTCCTCCTCCCCTCACCCTCCTTCTCCCCTCGTCTTCTCTTCCTCTTCCTTTTCCTTCCCTCCTCCCCCTTTCCGCCCCTCCTCCTTCCCTCTCGTGACTCTCGTGACGTCACACGTGACGTCACCTGCGAAGTCATTATGAAAAACGTCACATAATGCAACGCACGGTTATGCCGAAGATGACGGCGACGCCGCTCAAGCCGGAAAAGGGCGCCTAAGAGCTGCGATCTAATAAGCTTCTTTTTGTTTTTAGAGAAAAGAAACGGAACACCAGAACGTTTCACAAGAATTCAAGCGAGAAATATAAACCGCAAGCCTTATCACCACCGACATAACAATGGCCGCTCTCACCGAGCTGTGGCTACCGCGACGTGCCGTGATAGTTCTAGCGGCAGCTCTGGCACCCAATCATACCTCTTCAGACAATATTTGCTGCTACGGTACTTTCTAGGTGCCTCCCCCAATCTTCCGCAATGGTGAGTGATTCGCTGGCGCTGGCATGGGCGGGGATGTGGCGGACCCCGCAACCTCTAACTCTATGCGAAGCGCAAGTTCGTCTGCTTCTTTTGCAGGGGTTGTGGTGGCGTCAGAACACCGAGCTCTGATTGGCTCTGATCGAAGGATGGTAGGTAGACCTCGAAGCAAGCTGCCTTGAGGTCTGCCCACTATCCTTCAATTAGAGCCAATGAGAGCTGGGAGTTTCGACGTCACCACAACCTATGCCAAAGAAGCAGACGGACTTGCGCTCCGCATGTTGTATCGCAGCAATGGCTAGATGCGCGAGCTCATAGCGTTGGCAGCTGCCCTTAATGCACGAGAGCTTGTGCCACTGAGATATGCTCTAGAGCAAGGAGCACGCTTTTTTAGCGTTTACCTCACAAGTTGACAGAAAGTCTGAGCTAGGCCAGCTCAGTTGAAGTGAATGATCGTTATCTGCTCAATAACAGTTGGTGCCGCCGTGTTACTCCGGCCGATCACGATTCAGTCAACTGTCGTTGGCTTAATGAATGTTAAGAGTGCTAGTGCAACTAGGGTATAACAGCAATACTGTGGTGATAAATCGTAAATTCACGATGAAAAAGAAATACGTTTTTGAGTGATATTTGAAATATTACATTAACAATACACAAGGACCGCATCGGAAGTGGTCATCTTCCATCCAAAATGAAAGATGTCGATATTATGAAAGCCGTAACGCACACAACGGTTCACGATATTTTACATGAAATAAAAATAAACTTCTCTTTCTTCGTAGACAAATTGAACCCTGGAATTCTTAGCCTGAAATTACCGTCTTTGCAACCAACGGTCTTTTGGTGAAGATAGAAAAAGTGACATGTACTCATCCACGCAGTGACCCGCAGTGGCGATCCAGTAGCGGTTCAAAATGGCGCCGCCACAGCGGTGGGTGCTGGAAAATCCGAAGAATGAAGTCCTCCTAACCGACACCTGCAACAATAAAAATAACGACATTATAAAATGTGATCATATACCCCATTTAACGCACTGTAAAATAGTAAGTAGTCCTTAGTTATTTACACAGTGGGAGGTTTATCTACCTAACATGGTTATAGTGTCACCCACTGTAAGTGAGAAATTTAGCCGGTGCACTACAAATGCTAGCCCGAGGTCTTTAACGTGCATCGCGCAGTAGTGATACACGAGCGCACGCCGGTACGATGCTCATTCAGGTCGAAACGGGCGGGGGCGGGATTGAGCCCAGGATACTTGGGTTCTGCAGCGAGAGCTTTCGCTCCACGTAGCCTGAGATGCTGTACGCTAGCCCTCTCGGCCAAAAAGTCAAATTGGACGTTTTAGTGACTTATACAGCGTAAGGTTGGTCTGCCAGTAGGGGCGACGCTGGTTTACACTGTAGATGAGCAATTTTGCCAGTACAGTACGACTGCTAACCTGGGGTCTTTAACGTGCTCACACAGTAGTGATACACGACCGCACGCCGGTACGATGCTCATCCAGATCGAAACGAGCAGGGGTGGGGCTCGAACTCAGGAGCCCTGGGTTCTGCAGCGCGAGCTTTCGGTCCACGCGCGTCGAGCTGGGTGTGCGCTTTGGCCCACTCGGCCACCGATCCCCCATCCCTCTCGGCCACCGATCTCTCTTATGCCCTGTCTTTTATGTCGAAGATTCGGATTTATTTGACATTGTGAGAAGAGGAACGCGGTGAAACAAAAGCACTGCATTTTATAAAAAGCGCATTTTTTAACTGACGCCGTTATTGGCAAAATGAAACTGTAGAACCAATAAAAGCTAAAAACAAATCACCATGGTTTTGGCTGCCAATCATTCCAAAACTCCAATTTCTTCTTCATATCTTTCTCGCTCTCTCTCTCTTTCTCTCTCGTTCTCTAAACACGAATATGCCATTTTTCCTACACTTTCGCACCCTGGAATTTTTGAGTCCAGAGAAGGACAAGATCTATGGAACGAACAAGAATTCAACAAACGTGTCCTGTCGCAAACGCTCGCTAGTTCCTTATGAGTCTACGAAGGATCAACTTACGCCCGTGGATACTTTCAGCAGAAAACTAGCGTCGAGGAAGTATACGAAAAAATGCGCGTGATTGCTCTAACAAAAATTAAGAAGATAATGGTCGGCAGACTTTCTTTTCTATGTGAACAAAATAGATTAGCGAACGTACTGCTGCTAACACTATGGGTGGTACAATGGTGGCACTATCTGCAATGACAGGAACAGAGGTAACATCATCAAATAGTGTTTTCTCAAAAAAAAAAAAAAAGAAAAATCCCACCTTTTCATCTTTTTTTATATATATATCGGGTTTAATTATGATGACGCAATTAAAACTAACGAAAGTTCTTCATTTTTTTATTTCAGTATATAACCAACGTAGCTCTAAAGTTAGCCGCAACACGCTAAAAACGTGCGATTCAATACACTGATTGTATCAGAATATTTTAAAATTTCTGAGTCTCACGAAGCTCTCTTCCATACCCTCCACACAAGCCTCATAGGGGCTAAAAAAATTGAGTGGTTGATTGCCAATGTGCAGACAGCCCCTACGCATTGGCAGTCGTCTGATTAACGTTACCGGCTTTCCTTTTTAATCTATGTAATTTGTGCTAGCCACGCGCCAAAAGTTGATTTTCTTCTTTTCTAAAGTCAGAAATAAATACTAAATGCTGGGTCCTCCTGCTACAGGAGTACTCTACAATATTGCTCCTTGATAAAAGTCTAGGCGGGTTACGTAGCTCCGTTGAGAGTGCTTCTGACACTGCAGAAAATTGGGAATAACGGAGTGGATGCTGCGAGAAGTCATGCTGATATTTCGTAAACTGAAATTTGAATGTTCATCTGCCGATGACGGCTTCTTGTTGAATTGGTTTACCCCAACTCAAATAAGTATTTATGGTATACACAACTTCAGTGGAGGAGTATGAAGCATGCACGCGTGCTCCGCAAGAGCTCCAATCCGTAACACTAGCAGAAAATATTAACTCATCAACATTCAGGAATCAGGAATTTGTAAATGTTAGTGTGGTAACTGAACCCTACGAAAAAAAACAAGTTCTAGAATGCATGGATTGCTTTATAGGGAATTGGTCAGGGAGTTGGTGTGTCACGTGTCGTATATTTTCCCGCTAAAGTTTGGCGGGAAAACTGAATGGTTGTGCAGGTCACGTGACGTCGATTTCTCCCACTAATTTAGCGGGGAAACTGGATTGGTGTCTGGGTCACAAGACGTGAACTTTCCCGCGTTAATTGTGCGGGTAACTCAATTGATGTTTTGGCCCTAAGTCGTAATTTTTCCCGCTAAATTTAGCGGGGAAACTAATTTAACGTATAGGTCACGTGCCGTCAATTTCCCCAAGGTGTATAGGTGACGTGACGTCAGGTGACGTCATGCGACGCCACTTTCCTGCGAAATTGAGCTGGGAAACTGAATCGGTGTATAGGTCCGTCAGTTTTTCTACTAAATGTAGTAGGGAAACTGAATGGACCTGTATGTTCCGTTACGTCAGGTCACGTCACATCAATTTTCTTGCTAAATTTAGCTAAAAAACTGAATTTGTGTATATGTCACGTGATATCAATTTCCGATTTCAATTTAGAGGGAAGTGCACGGACGGACGAACGGACAACATTTCGGGATAGGGGGTAGTGTTAAAAAACATATCATGGTTATAAAAAAAAGAAAAAAAGAACCTGTGCAATTCTTAAAAAAATATCCCGAGGAGTGTTGTGTGCCAGTGGTTGCTAATTGTGTTTCGCATTTGCGACTAAAGGAATGCAGTTTTTTGTGGCGATTAAGAAAATGAGAGCAAAACGTAAAGAGGAGAGAATAACGAGGAGAGGGAATTGGTGCGACATGCAGTATATTTCCCCGCTGAAATTAGCGGGGAAACTGAATCGGTGTTAGGAGGGGAAGGAAGGGAGTGGTAAGGACCAGGGTTGTAAAGTACGTAGGTACAACTAACTGGAAATCGGTATCTAGGTACCTTTGTTGTACCTGAGGTACAAACCTAGGTGCTTTCATTTCTCGGTATCTGTATCTGTGTCTTAGGTACATTTTCCAGTATCTTGTAACTAAGTGAAGTTACTTTAACAGACACTTTTTTATTCACTTCATTAAAATGATAGAAAATATGAACCTTGAAGTATTAACACACTACCATGTGCCGTGATTAACATTGAGTTGGGTACGGCATTGGAGGCACTGACTTGATCGAACGAGGTTTTAGTGAACGAAGCCCCGCCTATGATGTTTCATCGAACGACACACTTTAGTGAATATAGGTGTTCATTTGAGCGAACGGTGGATTAGCGATGCCGTTCTAGCGACACCAATTTATCCAATCGCTTCGGAAACACGTTTAGGGAAAATAGCGACTTGCTTCCTTCTTCTCAAACCAAAATCGACTTATTGTGTGTTTGAAGATCCTCTGACAGTTATACAAGAGAAGAGATAACTTGAAAGTTGTGCACAGTTTCTGTTGCCTATATCTTGTCCTGATGGTGGCTCTCTTCTGTCATAAATACAACATAGAATATAATTGAAAGAGAATTATTATTACAACCATAAAGAAATGGAACATTGCGAATATAATACAGATTCCAGTCAACAAATCAGACTCGAATTTGGCGGTTATCAAAACTGAGAAAGTTCCAAAAGAAAAAAAAGGAAAAGCTTATTTTTCTTCAAACTAGCGAAAGAAGAAGACAAAAAAAAAACGAGGAAGCTTGAAGCCTTTCGCTCGATGTTGCAAAGGTTAGGTGCATATGCTCTCGACTCATGCGTTTCTTCATGCGGCCGACGTATTCTGGGCCCTTCGACGCCAGCACCGGCTCATGTGAATACGGTTTTCCTTATTTCTCGGAATGACACCAATAAAGCACTTTTATCGAACTCGTTTTTGTGTTTATCCTTAGTATAAAAAAGCTTTACTTCCAGTATATATTGACAAATTCGGAGAAAATAAAGTAAGTATCTTTAAAGTAACTGCACCTGTACCTAGGTACTTTTTTTAACCGAGTACCTAGGTACGTAACTAGGTACCTTTTCGTATGAGTAACTGTAACTGTATCTTGGGTACATTTTTGATGTAACTTTTACAACCCTGGTAAGGACTTGGAGGTACGTGAGGAGGGAGAGGGATGGGAAAAACACCCCAGGACCAACATGACCTAGGGTTATCTAGGAGGTGTTGCTAGGAGAGGGTATGGATGGGGAGATAAAGTGAGGAAGAGAGAGGAGAGGGATCGGGTGAAGGGAATGGGTGTTTCAAGTGACATATATTTTCCCGCCTAACTTAGAGGGAACACTGAATTGTTGTATGCGCCACGTAATATCAATATTCCCGTTATATTTAGCGGGGAAACTGAATAGGTGTCTAAGTCCCGTGACGCCTACTTCCTGCTAAATTTAGAGTGGAAACTGAATTAGTTTAGGTCACAACACATATTTTTAGCGAGGAAACTGAATTGACAAATAGATCACGTCCAGTCAATTTCCCCAAGGTGTATCGGTCGCCTGACGTCACCCGGTGTCACTTTCTTCACTACATGTAGCGGAAAATGCACGGACGAACGGACGGACAAAATTTTGGGATTGGTGGTTCCGTTAAAACGTGACGAAACGTCGCGACACGGCTCCGTTTTTAAATGTATACTAAGAAAGTAGACGTGCCGCCCTATTTGGCAGCGTTTCTTATATAAAAAAAAATACACCCATGATCAAAATTGCTGGGTTTTCTAGGGTGCTTGGCCAAAAAGGCTCTCGTCATGTTTGGTCACTTTTTTTTTAACACAGACAAGTTCGACGCATAATAGAACTGATTGGTTTTCTGATATGCTTAGGCATGTAGGATGAGATCTGGCTCATCCTACAACTTAAAATGCAACCAAAAAAAAGAACAACTTAAAATGCAACTTTTCTTTAATATGTTAAGCGTCGACTGTGCAAGAACTCTGGAGACCCAGAAATATCAACACGTGCTGAAGGCCCATGAACCAACTGCATTTCAGTGTAAATATAACATACATCGAAGAAAGCGCAAAAACACAGACGAGCTGGTAAAGGGCTTTCATAATAACCAAAAACTCGGAACAATAAGAAAACAATAGATCAACTTTTTTTAGTAATGTAATTGAGGCCTGTTGTTTTGTCCGTTTTTTTTTTTTTTCATCGTTTCGTGTTTTTGCTTAATATGGAAATAACTTTTACAACTTTTACATCGAAAACACGAATCAACCTGCCTCAAAGATGGCGGCGCGCCTTCATTATTTTGAGGCGCAATAGGCCCCTCAGAATGTGATGCGTCTAGATCGTAGTGACGCATCAACTTACCCAGAGCGCTCCTCGTCCACATGAGCGCCTCTGATGCAGCCCTGGCTTTCGGATTCTCAAATTCGCTGATCCGCACAAATCTTTTTATATAATTTTCTCCTTTGGGTTTTTTCCTTGATACGAAATGTTTCTCCATGTCGCCAGGCTTACGTCAGTTCTGACCCCTGCACTCCTGCTGAACACAAGCGCCCTGTACGGTGAACGTGTAAAGCTGCGCGTTTGTATAATAAACTTCGAAATTCTTTGAATCCTTGTTTTGAGCTCCTTTTTTCGTTGAAAAACATTTTTCGCTAGTTTGGAAGTAAGGAATTCAACAAACGATTGAGGATTGTAGGCTATGATCGATAACAAACCTTGTCAAGCCTCGGCGTGCAAGAATTTTTTTTTTTTTTTTTTTTTTTTTTTTAACAAATGGTTTCCGCGATTTTAAAACACCTTGTCCAGAAATGGTACGAAACTCTGACGAAGAGGCCAACATTCTCGAGGGTTGGAGCTAGGCATTTTCGACAACGCGCGAATAGGTACGTCGCGCCAAAAATGCGTGACGTCTATTTGATTTCCTCAAAATGATTTATATAGATATGTTTGCAGAAATCAAATAGACCTTATGCATTTCCCCGACGAAAATCAACGTGTCTATATAGACACGTTGATCTTCATCGGGGAATTTTAAAAATATAGCGGCTAACCGCTTGTCTAGAGTTTTAAAGGTGAAAGGGTGTTTATAAACAATCAGGAAATAGTGTCGGCGCCATAGACTCACAATCGAAAAATAAAGGCTTAAATTCACTTATGCAACATAAACGGCATTCCCTAGACACTCGCTTAAAAAAAAAAAATAAAGCCGCTGTCATCAGGGTGTGCCACGCACGGTCTCTAGCGGCTACCGAACAGACGAGCAAGCAGGGAAAAACAGAAGAACGACGAAACGGGCATCTTCGTACCTGCCAGGGCCAGGCGCCGAAGGATGAGCTTTTTCCACCGACCACTTTGGTTTGAGGCAGCAACGTAGGAACTCCACATTCTCCTGCAAACCGGAGGCCAGACATGCAAGTCAATCCTCGAAGTAAGCAAGGCTGAAATATCCCGCTGTTGCGCGTAACAACCAAAAAACAATCGAAAATTCAAAAAAAAAAATTTGAATTTTTAAGGTAAATAAATATACAAGTAATTGGCGCGAATCATAAAGCTTTTTTTTTTTTTGTTGTTGTTGCGAATTTCGTTTTGTGAGTTCTGTGAAAGTTTCCGAAGTCGTCATTCATATGCATAAGTATAGTGCCGCATCGAACCCTATTAGCAAATTATCGGCGTGAACGACCCCACCCAAAATAGTTTGATGTGCCATGGTACGTGCATGCGTGGATAACACGAGCCGGCTCAACTGCATTCAAACGGGAAGAATATAGACGTGTCATCCTTAGTGCCCCAGGTTCCAACATGTTGGAGAAGATAAGAATTGACTGTCATTATTCCCTGTTGTTGAACAGTAGCGGTCCGTACTACGGTTCACCATGCCGGCATTTTACCCTCTCGGTTCGCACTTGGCTGAACCAGTTCATACTTCCGCCCACTGTACATTTGGTAAATCACTTCGGTATTTGAGTCATGTTCAACACCATACCAAGAAGTGACACTAGAACGATTTTGCTGTCCCTTTTCATTTTCACATGTTTTCAGTTTTCCTCAGCCCGGTATAAATATCATTTAACATAATGAAAGATTATATCCTTTTCGAAAGTGCGCGCCACCTCATGGTTGCTCTGGCGATTCTTCGAGTCTGCTATTGTTCGAGCACCTAATCTGAGCATCTGATTGGACACGAAAGCTGCACCAGCGTTCGGCGTGAGCTCGGATCCAATCACACGGCCCGAAAAATCGCGACTGCCAAGGTTGCTTGATTTGGGTTTTACAAAAGGGTCTATTGTGGGTCCAAAGTAATATCAGTGTGATATTACCCAACCGCCTCCTTAAAAGTAGGGTTGACACAGAAATGTCATATTCGCTGGGATACTTAGAATACGAAACGTCAGTTGTAACGTCACAGCGCAGACCGCATTTTCGAATGCAGGTGTTTAAGACTTCGTCATTTGAAAGGATCTTTAAAATTCGTAGTAATTGACTTTTGGTGCTCTGTGCGGGGAAACAGACGCACGCACGGTAATTGTTTTTGAGTACATGAACTAGTAGAGTTTGTGAACAAACCGAACTAATTAAGTTCAGCAAATATGATGTATTAAGAAAGTAATCAACAAATACCCCGCCCTTCCCCCCCCCCCCTCCACACACACACACACATACACACAATTCCAGAAGAAAATTAAAAAAAATAAAGAAGACGAAGAAATGAAGTGTGTTGAATGGTCAAAACATTATGTTCTATATAGAAAGTCAACGTACGCTAAAAGGTCAATCTGCTTAGCAACATTGCTCCTTAGCTCAAGTCACATTCTCTTATGAAGCTGCCTTATTATGTTTTTTATGCAGCGGAATAAGTTCTGCAAGCAACTCAAACCTATTCGGCATTAATTATTATATACTGGATATACTAGTTGGAATATTAACCTATTCACTATGGCAATAATAATTTTTCTCGTTAGTAAAATTCTGAGTCCTAAAATTGCTCTTTCCCGAACTTATCACATCTCATTTTTGCTCGTCTATAGATTGTCCTGAGACGTCCATAAGTGCGAACAGCCTCTTCCTCATGTCTTACTTTACGTAGTATAATGGCTTTCGTTGCCGTTTCCTAGTCCCACCTTTGGGTCTTTTGTTCACCAGCTGCACAGGTGGCTGGGGAGGCTTCTTGGAGCCCGTGACCGACGCCACAGCTGTCAGCGCACTCGAGGTCGGGGTCGCCGCGGGTCTTCGCGTCGTCGACGGTCTCCCGTACACGTTATGCAGCGCCGACGGCGTTGGCCTCGTGGCAGCCTGGGTAGCCATCGTCGACACTGTTGTCGTTGTGGTTGTCGTGGTCGTCGACGTCGCTGCCGTTGGCGAAGGCCTGAAAGGCGGCCTTCTGGTTGGCCGGAAGGTGATGATGGGCACCAGCGTGGGCCTGGGCCTGAACAGCGACCAGAAGGTCGTTATGCCCGGAGGCCTGAACGTGGGAGGCCATCTTGTAGCCGTGGCCATCGAAGTCGGTGGCGTGGACGTCGGTTTTGTCGCCGTCGTGCTCGGTTTCGTAGCCGGACGAGTCACGCTGGCAGCGGTAGGCTTAACGGTTGTCGGGCGCTGTGAGGATGACGTGGGCGTCAGGTAGATGAGGGTGAAGTTCCGCTGCGGGTAGCTGCTGCTGCTGCTGGATGACGCGGCGACGCTGTTGAAGCTGGTGGTAGCCGCGGGCCTGACCGGAACCGGCCGGTGAGGCTTGTGCGGAGATTGAGGGGCCTGACTGGCCGAAGAGGAGCCTGCCGAGAGGCCGCCGGCGACGCTGTTCTCGCTGTCGTCGTACTGACAGCAGGAGCCATACAGGAAGCCGTCCGTGCAGGTGCCCAGGTGCTGGCCGTCCAACTTGATGCACTCCCAGACGAACATGCACGTACCGTACTGGCCGATGGCATTCTCGCACGACTTGGGACTGATTTTGAGACCTGCGCAGCGTCGACGAAAACGGGGTGGTACATCGTTGAGGGAAACCAAAGTGTTACCGTTGCTGCTATTCCCATTAAAGACTCAAGAGCAGTCTAAATATTTTCCGTAAACATGCTTTATATTGAAAGTGAGCTCAGAATTATAAAGCTAAACAAGTTTGAATGAGTCTTGTTTGTAAGAAAGGTGCATCAGAAAACCTGAAATAAGACAAGACTGCCACCGTGACGCCGCAGTCGAATGATTTTTGTAGTGTAATGACCGTGAAGCTGTTTGTATTTTTAGCTCGACTCTACGAGCAAACCAGTTGTTAAAGCTAAAAGCTCGTTCCTGTGTACTCGTCGGTATTGAGCCTAAACAGTCCTCACATTTCCTTCAGAATTGAACTGTTCGTAGCAGCAATTTTTATAACTACATGTTATGCCTACATACAGAGTACAGTGTCATCGATCATTTAACTTGTTCGGTATGCTTAAAGGGGAGAGAGCTCCGGCGTTTTTTTGAGCTACATATACTCCACACATTTTCGCAACAGCAAAATTTACTCTTTCCGGCATGTATTTCCGGCATTATGTCTAAATTCGAACAACCATGTCCAATAACCATTTTTAATTTTCATGAAAAAATGTTATTTTCAATCAACACGCTACGTGTTGAGTGATGCTATACTTTATTTCAGCTTAAGTACAGACGCAGCCGACGCTACGACTTAATGGGACCAATCAAGAAAAGCTCAAGTTACTGAGTCTTTTTCTGTTTGTCTGCAGTTGGTTTAGCGAGATAGAACACGTACGGAAACATGACGAACACCGGGATGGTGCGCTTTTGGTGCTGTCTGAGTGATTGGTCCCAGAAAGCTCGGTAGAATGAGCTGCGTCTGGCCTTAAGGTTAGATGTGCCTATTAATACGCTGAACCGATTTTGAGGCAAATCAGTGACCATCGAGGTTTTGTCGAACTTCCCTTTACTTGTTTTCTGAAACTTTTAAGCAGCTTGTGGGCACGACAACATCTTTGCTCTCCGGATCAAATTATTCTTCGCCAATAACAAGCTGAAAATTTCCGGCACTGGCTCTAACGTTTCTTCTTGCCCAGTGAGTATGTCTCAATCATTTGTCAAGTTATTATCCTCTTCAATTACTACGTGTTTCTGGAAGCTCGGGTAAATCGCTCCTGTGTGAAGTACGCCGAGAAGAATTTAGTTTTCTGAATTCCAACAACGATGGCATAATTCGACGACGGGCGAGCGATCGCTAATTGGAATGTTCCAGTTAGGGCAATTATTCCTAAAGTTCATTAGTAAGCCTTAGGTCATTATTTCGCGATTTAATCACTGTACACACTCTACCTGACGTCAGCCCCAGGCGATATACGTTATCCCTAAGGAATTATTTTTTTCTATTTCGATTGCTTTTTTCCAAGCATCCTCAGTCGTTTGTGTAATATACGCTTCAAACAAGTGCTGTCGATCTTCCTAGCTGTCTTCAGCACGGCAAGTATTTTTGTAGTTCACACAACTATTCCTACTCTTTTTCGTCTTTCCTATCTCTCATTTTATCGCTTCCAAATGCTCTCAAGGGAACGAATGAGAGAGATCTGCGACGGTTGGGACAACTTCTTCCCCCAATTTGAGCATCTCCACTTCTACGGAAAGAAACTAACAGAGAGGAGGAGGCGAGACCGCACGGGGAACATCAGAGCACCGATCTCTGATTGGAATGATTAGTCGGTAGACCTAAAGCTTGCTGCCGTTGTCGCTCTGTCTCCCTCTAAGAAGAGCGAACAAGATAGCCGTCTGTTCTCCGCACAGTGTCTCGCGTTCCAATGCCGGACGCCGACGTTGTGTGTTCGAACGCGTTCAGACGGTGGGTCGAGACAGAAAGGCTGCTAGCCCTTGTGCCTACCCTCTAATCGCTCCAATCAAAGCTCGGCGCTGGCACGTCACCACATGGATCTCGTCTCTTTGTCTCCCCCAATTTCTCTCGGTGTTGTTATAACACATCACCGTTCCAGTGTTCACATAAGAGCTTTGTTTCAGTTTATTTTTGTTTGCTTTTTAGCGAGGCTGATGCAGGTACCCTATCTGTACCATAATCGATCTTACTGAGTTACTTTTACGCGCACCTTGCTCAGAGGGTTGATGAAGCCATATCACATAGTAGCGTCCATTATAGAAACAGCTCATATTTCAATGGCTGGGAAAATGCGCAGCAGTAAAGTCAAATTCGAGTTTGCACGTACCTTTGGCGAAGGAAATGACTGAAAATGTGAATACGAATACTAGAAGAACGGGTGATGTTCGTCGCCACCGGACGCCCTGAAAAAAAGGGGAAAAAAGAAACAAAAAGGATAATAAATACGCAGTAGTACCAGTGCTTCAAAAAATAAAGCTACGGATGTAATCATAATTGGTGCTCACCTTAAAAATATCAAGTTTCGTTTTCAGTTAAAGTGCCATAAAAATGATGAAAATCAATATCTTTAACTACGGAGTAACAGTCGAATGGCACAAACACAAGTTTAAACAACATTTTTTTTTTTTTTGCCCAGCAATTTTTTTTAATACGTGTATTTGCTTTAAAATTAATTTCTACTTAACCTACCATGCATGCAGAGGGTGACTCATTGACAGCAACAAAGAGCGTCTCAAAGATGCGACCGCAGCTAGAAAAATAACCATGTAAAACATCGTGCTCATTGTAATCGTTTTTAAGTTAAATTGACATGATAAAAGAATGCACAAAACGCAGAGGAAGAGAAAAGGACAAGTAGAACGAAAGAGCGCTCTTTCGTTCTACCTGTTCTTTTCTCTTCATCCATGTTCTGTGCACTGTTCTATCATGTTGAAGTACCAACTAGCTCAATTCCCTACTTTACAACGGGTTAAATCGACCCGTAAACCTCTGGACCAGCTGAGCATGATCGCGGTCTCTGACTCTTTGCCAAATGAATGGAGTATATATGCTCACAAGTACTGCCGCGAGCGCGCACACTCATTGCTCATTCTGTTCACACGAGCTGTCATGGACATTTTCCAAAGCCCCTCAATCCTGGGAAAAGTGGAGCCATTCATTGTTGTGGAAATGCTCGAGACACGTTCCGCGCACCACTTCTGGGAAGAACATGGCGTCTGAAATCTAGCTCAGTGCTGCGCTGTGCCGCCATGATCTTCCCAATGGCTGCACGTCACTTGTGCCTCGTGCATCGGAGCACTTTGCGATACCTTTGGAACATGAAGGGGTTTCGACATTTATCACCTTACGACGACACCAAGCGGCGGGCACACACCTAGTGCCCGGGGGGGGGGGGTTGTGTGTGCAAATTTTGTTGGCAAATTGGGTAAATACGTTTATCTTATTCTTATAAACAACTCACTTTATTTCTTTCCTTTAGGGGAGGGGGGGGGAGGGAGGGCTGGACAAAGGTGCCTATATTAACGAGACAACACTGTATCATAATATGGACGTGCGGGAACTGTCTTTAAATTGAAGTTGGATGATTGCACCACCTACGATACATTTTTCGCCACAGTGTGAGCTGTATAATTAACAAAAGAACTCCAATATCCTTTTTAGGCCATATCATTGCCCCTAGGCCTGGCTTAATTAGGATTTCCATCTTGGAACCACTGGCATTGTTCGCATAGCCTTGCTAATAACAATGTTTTACAACCAAATACTACTAACTACTGATGTTTCTTTGAGTTTGCTGACTTTAGCCTTGACTTTTTTTACGTCATAAAAGTTTAGGCGTACCAAAACTTGACACATCACCGTCATCATTCGCTTTAGCCACACACCCCGACTTTGGAAATCTGATGGGCGGTTTCCTGGTCTTGTTCGTTTCACCTCACAATGCACCGCAGTCATGAATCCATCCCAGTCAGCCCAGCACTATGTACGTACCACGTGACAATACCCTTACGCGTCGTGGCGCCTCATCTGATGGTCACGCAGCACTCATGAAGCAGTGGATTGACTCAGGTGGCTCATAGCGTCCACTGCGGTTCATCGTAAGATTAAGCGGGGCATAAAAGAAGAATGACGTCAGTGGTTGAACCGTCTGACTCGAATTGACAGTCTGCCATTTTGACTCATTTTTAGAGCATTGTCACTTGTTTATTATCGAAATCTTCAATAAAAAATAAGGTATAGAAATATGTCCCGAGAGTCATCTAGGAATAATGCGATGCTCAAGATTACTCTAGGCGCTTAAGGCGTCTGATGGTCCGTGGCGTTCAGCTGGTCACCTTTGTTGTTTGGAAGCGGCGAGCCCAAGTTTCATGGCAGTTTTAGAGATGGCGCCCCACCCTAACAAAAAGCAACCAATCTAAGTGCGCTAGCCCGACTGCATTCTCCCCCCCCCCCCTCTCCCGTAATGAGTCGCTCAGCATTCATCATCAGAATATTTTTTACAGGTTTAGTTAGTGACATAGGGTCAATGTCGCATTACTTCAGCTACCAAACAGTGACCGTCATGGCAAAGAAAAACTAGATGGTGGTTGCTCTAACGGCATGAGCGGAGCTGTAGTCTTCAGGTTTCACACAACAAATTATTGTACAAGTTGCGAAATGTCTAAGTGTAGAGACAATGCCAATTGGGGCTTGAAATTTCTGGTAAAAGGTGCATTGACAGGCAGCGTGTTAACTTGTAAATTCTCATATAAGGCAATTTCATCAAAAGCATCGGAAAGTCAGGCGTAGAGATCCATAGTGAAACTGTAATTTCCACGTGCTCTCTGCTGCTTTTTTGATCTCGAAAATTGTTTGGAACAATTAGAGTCTGAAATTCGAATTCCCTTCTTTTGTTCAAAGAAAGCAGACGCGTAATTCCACGTTTCTAACTGAATTACGTTAGGTATTAATATGCAAGTTCTACAACTTTTATGCGTCCACTCCATCATTTTTGCGTACGTTTTTTCCAATTTTACGTTGCGTCGTTCATTGCATATCCCATTTTTATGTATATTTCGGCGCATATATATTCGCAAATAAAACGGAACAACCCCGATCTGCTTGGAACACTGCTCTATGATATTACCGGTTTCTGCCAAAGGACCCATTTGAGAAAATGAATAGGCTCGATATGCTTAGTTTAGTAATTACTTGCGAGTGATTCACTTCTATTCAGTAACCTCAAAGTTATGGTTTCAATAAGAAACTTCCCTTGCATCATCGAAAACATCTAAATCAACAAATTTTGTGAAGATGCAAGGCAGGGGCAGCATTTTACGGCGTTCCGAAAAAATGCTCAATCTGAACGTATTCCTAGGTTTCGGTTTCCTATCTGAGCTAATCTATGCGCCCGCCAGGGGTCGTACTCCGTGGCCAATGCGCGCAGCTACTGCTTTCCTCTCTCATAAGAAAGAAGGATGTGTGCAACCAAAACGGGGGGTTGAGGGGAGGGGGGGGGGGGGGGAGGAGGGGAAGGGGAAGGGAAAGGGAGTGGGGAGGAAAAAAAAAGGAGAGCGGCTTTTGAAAAAAACAACACCGGAACCTCTATTTCACTTCACCTCACGCCCAGACGCAGCCGACGCCACGAGCTGATGGGAGCTATCATACCGCGTCAAACACGCACAAATATGGTGCTCATTATGTTTCCGCACGTCTTCAATTATCGATGAACCAATCATTTAGAGAGAAAACCCAGTGAATTATTTGCACAGTTTGATTGGGCCCATTAGCTCGTATCGTCGGCTGCGTCTGGACGTAAGCTAAAATCAAGCGTAGAAATGCGCCCAAATTCATCCTCTTTTCGAAAGGCCGTCACATGCTGTGTAGCTACGTTATATTTTTATAAAATAAGTTGATTTAGCCGTTCTCGATAATACAAACAGTGTTTCTGATTCAAATCATAGCATTAAATTTGCAAAGCTGAGACATAATTACTAGAAAGCGAACAGTAGTAATTTTCTTAAATGGGCCTTTTGGCAGATAACGAGAAAAGACTAACCACTGCTTTATGTGCGAAGCACATACTTTTCGCGGGAAGGATTTCAACCGCGATTCGAGAAACAACGTTCTACGTTGAAGTGTTAGTTCTCTAAAAGAACAAATAAATTCACCCCACTAAAGAGCCTGAAGTGAATTTCATCAGGCGCACAACTCATTTCAAGAAGCAACCAAGTTATGAAGGATTGGATGACAAGATGATGCTTTTATTTTTTCACTCGAATTTGATCATTCTTTCAATCTACCGATAAACGGCTACCGATAAAAGCTTCAAACATCTATCACTCATTGGCATTTTTCTTGTTCCCTGCAGAGTGTATCCACGAAGAAGTAAAGAGTGTTAACTTTATAACTAGAATAAACATAATGATCGAAAGTCCACGCCCGTACGCTTCGTAGGTAAATTGTCACATTCTATATTCTAAATTATGATAACCACTTTATAAAAACGGGCGTCGTTTAAAAATGTCAACCCGATAAATCGCCACCCTTCCATCAATTACCTAATAGACTAATTGGCCTCGCTCATTTCCACGCAAATATTAAAAAAAGTAAAATTTAATTTTTGGGGCTGTATATGTGATAAACGATAACATGTGATATCACATTCAATTTGATGTGATAACATATAAAGTTCTGAATTTGAATAAACCCCGATGTGTAGTTGAGAAAAGCTCAAAGACACTCACACATCAGCTGCCTTAGGCAAAGGGTTCGTTGATAGTCTCTGAGATGGGCGATTTCCTTTGTTCACAATAGTCTCTCCAACGCCGTACGTGCACTCGAACGGCGTTGAAGTGGCCGAGACACGTGTAACCTTCTTCACTTGTCAGGAGTTACAAATATCGCCCCTACAGTTTACTTTAGGCAGAAATTTCCCCTGAAGTATTTCCTTCATACAGCCGGAGTCGTCCACGTCTGTATGGTGAGAGCGTGTAATTTTTACTTTCTTTTGGCACGTCAAAACTTTACGGATTGATCGGTTCAAAAATTAATCGCGCTTAAAGCATGAGTTCATTAATAGGTAGATCAATCGATCAACTGCCCAGCCCTAAACTATTTTCCACTTTCAATTTGTTTTAATAAAAGTATCGCTTACAAAAATAATTATGCTCGTCATTCATCGGCGGCGGCTTTCCGAGCTTCCTCGTTCGTCCTTGAGCAGGTTCGAAGGTCATTGCTTCTCCTTTCACGGCCGCATCTACCAGCCAAGAGTGTACACGTAACACGCCCGTCTCCAGGCACGAGTATACGGAACTACGAGGGTAATGAATCAAAGACATTGGTCTAAGACGCGAGTGTCCGGAAGACTCCGACAAAGGGTCGTAAAATACGCTTCGGTTGCTTGCCTACTTCGGGAGCCAAG